GAGTGTCGGAGCAGGAATCCATAATCAACTCCACTGAGCTGCCTTTAGAGAGCAAACAGCAGGTATCAAACAGTTTAGGGTCCATTTGTTGTGCTGAGTGCTTTCCACAAAGGTTGCATGAGACACTCTGACCTTCTTCGGGGTCAGAATAAGGTTTTTCTGAATCCCTTTTAGGATGTTGAAAAGAACAGCAGATATATGAAATATCTTTCTCTGATTTCTTTCAGGATTATGTATTTTTAGCTTGCTGTATGGAAACCTGATTTCTGTTAGTGTTAGTTTTGAAAAGATTTAATGACAGCATTTTTTTTTTTAAAGAAAGCTTTGGAGAATATGTTTGGTATTTAGCAGTGTACCACAAAAATGTCTTTAGAAATACATCTATTTTCTACACATTTAACATGTGACTGTTGTTCACATTGCATGAAAGTATCAATGTAAACATTTGAAGGACAAACGCCGTTTCATCTGTTGAGATGAAGAAGACTGGCAATTTCAATTACATGAACAACCACAATTTTGACTTGACGTATGATATGATTGAGTCGGCATGACTTCAATTTGCCATGTCAGGCACACGAACGAAGTCGAGCACAATAGAGGCAGTGAAAATGATTGATTGTGACTTTGCCGAGAAAATGTCCTCCTGCAAGATTTCTTCCCTTTTCAAAGTCCCTCAAGAAATTCTAATCTCCCCTTTTTCCTGTTTCTGTATCTGAGGAACAATCTTTAAGGAGGCAAATACAAGACTCGTACATCACAAACGCTACGTACTGTACATTTAATCTCAATTATTAACAGACCCTGTGCACCTAACCGAGATAACGGCTGACTGTTGATAATTTTTCATTTGAAGTGGGGGGGAGGGAAAGCCCACTTTTTTTACTTGTGTTTTTCCTCACCTGGATGGCACAAGAGAGAAAGAGCAGATTGTTACAGTACCAAATCCCACGAGGCACAGAGGCACTTACTGAATTGGAACGGTGAAGCCCAGAGCCAGAAGGCAACAGCATCTGCTCTCTCTGGAGACTGTCATCAGCAGTTTGGGCTAAAAGAATGGCTACTTATGTTGAAATGTCTACATGGTAGGTCTGTTTTCACTACGTTGCAGTTGCTCTCTTTGTTAATTTGAAAACTTGATAACGTGCATGCAGTGACATTTGATTTAATGGCAGGATCAAATAGGCGTAGCTCTTGGTAAATGTCAGTCAGACTCAGGCGTTTGCATTTTCAGTTCTAAGTCAAAGCTTGCAAACATCACAAAACAAGACATGTATTGTTCGTGTAAACAGTTATCTTTTCATTCTGCCGTTCATCTGAGTTTTCGTTTCACTCCTTAGGTCTGTCTCTGGGAAGGTAATGAGTTGTTTCGCCTGAGCAAAATATGCCTCAGTTTCATCCATAACAAAGACTTAATGGAAAAGATTAATATCCTTAAAAGAATCTATTAAATGTTAAGATCGACGGGTGTTAAAGGTGACTCGCTCAATTTCCATTAAACATGAGGAGCTCAGCGAATTGAAAAACATCCCACTCAAGACTTCACTTATTCTAATAGCAGACTGGGCTGCTTCCACTAAGACATTAATACTCCACTGAATAAGATTCAAAGGCCAGATTCTCACACCACCTTCTATGGAGATAATCTTATTTCCTACTCCACTGAACTTGAGAGTTGGCTCAGGCAGATAAAACAGACACCAACTGTTTCCCATTGACCTTTCCATTGTTGCACAGAGAAATCTTCCTAAAACAAAAACACTCAATGGAAATGCAAATGAATCATTTTAAAAGTATTCCTCACTATTTCACTGTAAGACATTTACTGGCAGTGATTTATTGATCTCAGAGGAAAGACATTTGCGGTGTTAAACCAACAGGAAGATAATATCTCCCTCTGTTATTGAATCTTTGAAACTGTTAGCACACCACTTGTCTTTCTTGTTTTGGTTACTGTGCAGCCACAGAAAGGGCATGGGAGATTTTCTGGGAAATTACAGCAGGAATCCCTGTAGAAGTATATGATTTTTATCTACAAAAATCAACCAGCTTCCCCATTCCCTACCCTGAAGTAATACATGACATGATCCACCATATGACATCTTCTCTATGTCTGATAGAAATCCTCTTGGGCATTGTGTCATTTTAATCAGTTGTAATATCATCTTAAAATGTCATCTTTTTTTTTTTTAAGGGAGCTAAGGCTTTTGTGAATCACATTATGACAAGAGCAAGCACAGCTGAAGGGAAGGCTAAATAGGAGACTTCTCCATAGTTCTTCTTTAGACATCTGCAGCTCTCCCACCCAGAGGAAAACAACGATTTATTGACATTTTCACTCTGCCCAGCCACCCTCCAGACAGAGAAGCAACAAACACCTTATCTTGCATGCCACTTGGAAAAGAAATTTGACATAGAATCGGACAGGCGTTAAGACGAGATCTATATTGCTGCCATTACCGATAAAGTACACGACTTTATGTACGTCTTTCTGTAAATATATATGTATAAGCAGCACACTGCTTTCAGTATGCCCCTGCAGAACTCTTGGTTTGTCACAATCAAACCTAAAGCACATGAAAGTGTCTGAGCTATTTGCTTCCCGGCCATACGTGTACACACACCTTTTAGATTTCGAATAGAACTCCTGTGAACCTTCCAACAAAAACTGTTACTTTTCTCAAGGTTACTGTTCAGAGAGCAGCCGTCAGAAGTATTCAGAGAGGGCTCTGTTGAATCAGCCGTGCATGAATCTTCTTCAGACAGAAACCGGCAGTTCTCTGGTCAAGAAACACATATGTGTGATTGATTTGCTGCACAGCAGAGATTATGGTTCTTTTTTTTCCAGTTTTGACAAACACAAAGTCAACAGCTTTCCAAATTTCAAACTCCATATATTTCATTTTTTCCATTTTCTGATGTAATCTGCTACCTCATCATTATCACTGTGTTCAGTCGAATGCATCCACGAGAAATACTGCAGTATATACTCAGTCAGTTCCATCTATACCCTAAAACACCCTGCTTCCATACGTACATATGAGTCAGAGTGCTAATTAATCTCTATCCAAAAATAGCACCCAGCATATTCACCTGACATTGCCTGAAACCCCTACCAGGTTGTTCCAGAAATTAAATAACATTCCTCCATAATAAGGTTTTAAAAAATATTTTTGTCTGTAGGGCAAACCAGTGGGTTTGTGGTTAAATCATGTGGATGGATGAAGGTAATTGATGAGAGATGGACTTTTGAAGGGATGGCTTTGAGTGTCTGTTACCCTGAATTGGATTAGACAGGTACAAGTGTTAAGTTACAGAGTGATTAAATTGACCTAAAAGAATCAAAGTGGAAGCCTTTCTAAGGGCCAGTTCAATACTATAAATTCAACAGAAAGATGGTGCACCATTTCTCATTTCCTTTAACTTGGATAGACAGTATATATTTTATGATATTCTTTACAATTCCGTATAACAACAGTGTTTAAGGAGCCAGAATCATGAAAGCCCAGATTCCATAAACATGACTGTGAGCAACATTTTATAGTGTGAAAGCCAATATGTTTTTTAACTTGTACAAAATGCAGTGGTGCTGACATCTTTGGTTGGGAACTGCGCGGATGCAGGGTGTTTGACTGTTAGCTTAGCTTTGTGCCTGAAAAGACATGATGACAAACACAATGCTTGGAGAGTAATATCTGTAAGTCAAAACCAAATTTCTGGATCTACCCAACAATTATTTAACCAGTAAATCTATCAACATCTCATAATCATAATCATAATCATAATCGTATGTGCAGCAGCAAGAGACCATGTGAGGGAGTGAAAAAGTACAACGACCATCAAAGAAATTGTCATAAGTGTCAAACCGAGAATGAAGTCACCAACATAGGAACATATGTAAAGGCAAAGAATTGAGCAATTATTAAAAACTGTGCTGTTTGAACTGTAGACCAATGCAATATGATTCATTTTCTGATGAGTTTTGGTTGTTATGCAACAAAGATATCAGCATACGGTCTGCACAAGATGACACTATAAAACTGCCTTGGGTGACATATCTAATTTCAATTTGGAGGATTAGTAATTCATTTAGGAACAGTTTTTAAGTCATTATCGATGACATATTTCTTTAATAATGTGATGCCAAAGAAATGTGACAAAATTAAACTGCTTGTCTTGGCACAACCTGAAGATGTCTTTTTATCTACTATCTTTCTTTCTATCTATGTCTAGAATTAAGTTGCAGAAAATATAAAATAACTCCTCCGTAAAACACTGGTATGTTTAAATAATCCATTATGCTGCTGAAACAGAAAGTTTGATATGGAAAGACAGGTGACTACAACAGGTTACCTCATTTCCCAACCATACCTGAAAACAGATGTGCCCTTAAGTCCTACTCTCATGCATACTTAATGGCAAACTTGTCTGTACAGTGTATGAGCTGTCTTCTGTTGTATAACTCATTGACATGCCTATATATACAGTATAAATATCTATATATAGTGTTAGGTAAATACACATGCTATTCTGGATAAAAATATCTGAACAAAAAAACATCCCCTATAAAGCCTAATAGCAGTAGTTACTTATAACAATTTTAGTCAATGCATATAAATATATAATTCATTTTGTTTCTATACTGTTTAGATCTAGATATACATGTTAGGGTTCTCAAAGCTGTTCTACTGGAATTTGCCATCTAAAGCTGCACTGTGGTGGAGTGGGATAGCACCCTGTTTCACATCTATGGTTTTTCTCAGGCTTCTTGACCTATGAAAAATGTCAGTGGGAACTGGGAGCCATGGTGGGGTGGGTGCATCCCAGCCTTCCATCAGCTGTGGTTTAACTTGAGTGGAGGGGGGGGGGGATACAGGTTGAAAGTTGATATAATTTCTTTTTTTTGCTGGTCTTTCCAACACGCTCACGTACGTGCATATTAAAGGACCCGGCGCTCTTTCAACTCAACTGTAAGTAAGTATCGCTCTATAAATGTCCAAATGTCCCAGAACCACCTCATGAATGTGGTCTACCGCAGAAACAGCACACTTTTCCTTCAGCATCTTAAAGGAGCATCCATGGGCATGCGCCTCAAGGAGCATCTAGTGAGTCATGGCTCGCCTTTTCATGATTAAAATGTTCTACAACAGTGCATTTTTATAATGATTTATTTCATTAGGATACATCGGATTTGCTTATTAAAAATGCTACTTAAAAACCCTTAAACCAGGAGGTTTTATTCAATCAGACTCACTGCACTCCCCAATCAAGCTCCCTGTAGGGATCTTAAAATTACGCTCACTGTATGCATATGGCACTTCAGCCCTTATTGGGCTATTACATTTTCTATTTGTGAATAGTTTCCTTGGCACTTTGTACAGTTTTTGTATGTTTTTTTGCTCTTGCAATTTTTAGAATGTATGAAATAAATCAGCTCAAGTAAACCTAAAAACAACAGCCTCCAGTTACCTGACTCATTCAGACAACACCTCCTCATTTGTGTTCTGAGAAACTGTGTAAGCTACTAGGAAAAAGAAAAAGAATATTATAGACTTCAGGATGATCTGTTTAGGATAAAGTGTCTGTTTTCTGTTTTGCTGTACTGCAGAAGTTTAGTACCACAGCATTTTTTAGCAAGTTCCCGCTGTAACTGAAAGCTTAAATCAAGTTCGGTCCCACTGAGTCGAAACAAGGTTACATGGGACACGGGGTCTATGAACAATTGAAATGTTCCATCTCTGAAAAATATTGTAACACTCAGAAGACTTCAGCACAATGTGTCCCCACCGCCTCTACACTCTGCCAGCTTCTCCAACATTAATGATATGTTGTACAGTAGTTTCGCAGTAGGAATTCTTCCCTCCATCCTGAACAGGGAATGCACCCTGTCTTCCCAAGCGAGCATCAAACTAAAATGCAAAGTCTTTACGCCGTGGAGATGGCGGCGTAAGCAGCAAGCCTTGGGCATGTTCTGCATGAAAGTGATAATAAAAAATCTAAAAAATCAAAAGAGGAGCTCACCATACGCTGAAGGTGGCAGATCAAGCTGTTTCCAACTCATACAGCATGGTTTTCTAATTTACTCCAATAAAATCCCTCGCCTTCCTGTCACTCACATGATCATCGTTATACCCAGTGATGAACTCAAATACTCCCCCACTGTATGGGAAGATTACCTTCTGCAGAATGGATATTGTTGCTTCCCAAAACAATCTTCTTTCATTTTCCCTTTCCTCTTTTACTATTTTTTTTTAGTGTAGCAAGTCTGAGACAAGCTGAGACTATGATTTTCTCCTTCCCCACACTCTTGTAACAGCTACCAAAATCTTGACCTTTTGCCCAAATTTCTTGGATTCTAATCACTCAAAAAGCATCAAAAGATCTTTTTCTTCTTAACCTTTTCAAAGCAGTGGGTGGAGCGAAACATACAGTATAATGGGAAAAAAGGTAAAAAGGATGAATTGCCTCTCGGGAAAAAGAAAATGAATTCTAAATGTAGATAATTGTCAATCATGTGATCAGGGCGACATGAGTGGTGCCAGCTTCCCTGATTTGCATTTGTCAGAAGCACATGATCAGATGAAGTCCCACTGTGCCATCTAATCCAGAGGCAGTCTGGCTTTAAGACATGTGATACAGTTTTTACACTCAGCCACGCTGCACGGGAACATTTGTCTCAGAGTGCTCACCGAGGAGGGTCTCAGCGAGAGCTGCTGCTCGGAGGCTGTCTCTTACTGGAAGGATGCGGACGGTGAAAGCAGAGATTCCACTACAGTTAATTAAGGATCACTCTGCACGTGCCTGTAGATGCGACGGGGCAAATGAATTCAGTGTCAGTGGGGGCAGCTCCTCAAGGTGAAGCAGTGATATTTCAAAGGTGGAATTGAAAGAGCTGTAAATCTATTTCCTGACTCCGGCTTGACGGTTATTTCTGAATCACTGGACTGTTGCTATCAAAGTGTGGAGCAGGGAGGCAGAGTCAGTGGAGTTCCGTCCTCAAGCCAAATCTCAGAGTTACTGGATGGGATCAGCATAAGGAGAATTATGGATGGATATATGTTATTCTGTTGAGACATCTGTACCAGTTTGTTGGGTTGTTCAGGTAAGACGTCAATCTTTCTACTTTAGCCAAAAATAAAGTCCTGATTTTGACTAGAGTGATGATTGTAAGTTCATCTGTATGTTAACCAGGCAAATAACACATCTGAAAAATAAAGGGGGATAAAATCAAATTTTAAACTTCGGCATCTTGTTAAGATTTGAACGCTATTTACGAATTGAAAATCTTTCTAATTCTTCTCCCGTTTAAAATATGCAGCTCAATGAATGAATGAAAAGGTTGAATGAAAGTTTTATGCTCTTTAAAATCTAAAATTTAAATTCCGACAATGACCGAAATTAGAGGATCTCAAAAGAAGATGTGTGATAACATAGTTTTCTTTTTTTAAACAGTTTCAGGGTTGAGACGCCCTTTAGTTTCTTTTTCACAGATTTCCTTCTCTATAACTAGAAAACATCCTTGCTTTCCACCCCCCTCACTCCCTTTTCTCTGAACAGCATGGTGAAACATTACAAGCCGTTTTGATTCTTGTTACCGCCATGTCACTGTCACATTATTCTGACAGATAGAGAAAAGGCTTGGCAGCCAGCTGCTTGCAAAATCTTATCTTTCCTTAAGTTTGATTTTTGGTTTTGAGGCAGGAGCACTGCTCAGGAGTTGAAGGGAGTCAGCCTGTCAGGAGAGATTTCTGCTGCATGCAAACTCCTAAGGGATTATTGCATATTTGTGGCGTGGCGGCAAAGGGACAAAGCAGGGTAAACAGCCAGGAAATAACACTCCAACAATCCAGGTAACATAAATCCTAATGACTTCAAAACTCCACAGGGGGTCTAGGATAAAATGATTGTGGGAAATGTTTGTTACAATATGTTGGGATGAATTCATTAGTGTGCGCCACACTTGGGATTCTTCACGCATTTGTGTTTTGCTCGGTTTGTGTGGTGGGACCACGGGGTCACAGGTTGAGAACATGATGTATTGAGAGTTGACTCCCCCTCTGCTGGTGCTCAGCAGATGTGTCCTGTCATGTCCTGGCTGTTCTGCCTGTGCCTCTGGGTCAGTGTGACTGCCATGCAGCTGTGTCAGGCCACTTTCTACGACACCATTCAGCAGAATCCTGGGACGAGGCCAGGCCGGACCACAGTTCACATGATCGGTGAGTCCTTCTGTGCTTTCTTGTTTCCCTCTGGTTACACCTAAGATTCACAAAAAATCTAACAAGTCACATTCTGTCCAGCTTCTTGACTTGCACTCAGAGATATTGTACCGCTGAAAACCTGGTGTGTCAGGGTTGCTCCAGGTGCTCAGAGAAAACAAAAACAGTCCTAATCTAAGTCCTTATTTTATGAAGACATTACTTTCATTAATATCCAAGCAGTTACTTGAGAGATTAGTTTTGCGATGGTGATTTTCATTAAGATTCGGTTCAGAAGATCACTGAGATGCACAGTGAATGCTTCTGCGCTTTCCTTCTGTAGCTATCACAACTGATATTCATGCTAGACTGCTCCCCTTCAATTTGATCTGTGCGATTTTGCTCCTTGTGAAATTGCACTGAATAGGATATGACCGAAGCATTTCAGGTGAACTTTTGTTTTTGTCAGGCAGATGTAAGCCTTGGTAAATAATTATGATCTATTTCAGCAGAGAAGAGGAAGTCAAATGCTGTCAGAACTTCGAAAGGCAGTAGCTTCATGTGAATGCAGGGCCTCAGTGTCTCTTTGCACCTTAAGCATATCAGGGAGGGTTTTGTTCACCAATAATCCTAATATTTTGAATATAAAGACTTCCCTGACTTAGTTTAATTTGGCAGGTCAGTATGTGTGTGTAAGAGGACAAGGAATAACGTAACAAATACAAAAGACATTAGCAAAAAAGATATCCCAGAAGTGTTCTTTCATCAGAAAAAGCCAATGGAATTAATATTTGAAATATGCTTTCAAGTATATTTCAAATAAGTAATTTCTTTGGGAGGAATCAGTTAAAAGGAGAGCGATTTGAATCCTTCAGGACCATCTGCCACTAAAAGTGTAAATGCCCTGTCATTCCATTTACCATAGTTCTCAGTCCTGGATAAATGAGATGCCAGTTTTATGAGAGGAGGGTGGGATGCCTGTCGGGATTGATTCTGACACTGGGACATTTGTTCTGCGCTGTGTGTTGTGTGCCTGTTGGATTGGTGGGAGGATTGGGGTTGACGGGTCATGAATTGGTGGCAAGAAGGCCGCTGGTTGCAGACCACTGGGCCAATCATTAAAGGCAGCGAAATGCCACAAGTTCACGGTGACTGGTATTACCCAAGGAAATCGAGATTACAGGGTGATAGATCAGTTTTGTCCTTGACAACAGAAATTTAGATCTACTGGGAGATGAATCAAAATTATCCTGGTTTAGTGTATTTAGGAACAGATGGATTATGACGTGATCTGTGGATCGATTAAACAAACAGAAACTTTGGTGTAAAAAAACATTTGTACACACAAAAAAAAAACACCTGTAGCATGAAGAGGCATCTGAGACAGGAAGATAAGCAATTTATCAGGAGAAGTGCCTCTCTCACTTTTCTATTTCTCACCTAATAATCTATTTTGACATTGTACAAGCACCTGTTCTGCCAGTGCACTGACATATTGGCAGGCTTATTGCAAAGAAAGTGTGTTGAGAAGTCCATTAGCTAGATGACCCTAGAGTAGGAGCCTGTGAATGCTCAGTGATTCGGACAAGGTGCCCCGCTTTTCACCCTACAGCCTTGCTTACAGATTGCTGCCTGCCACTCTCTCAGATAGGCTCAGGGCTGTTCTCTGCCTCCCTGGTATAGGCAGTGTTGCTCTCTGCGGCATGATTCATAAGGTGCTGCATTTATTTGGTGCAAAGAGCGTGAACGGTGCTCGCAACAGAACAGATTGTGTGCGTTGTGCATTCGAAAAGTGCCGGGCAGAGACGCTGCTTTTGGGGTCGTGCATTTCTAGACCCTCAAACATGCCTCAAGGAAGCCACAGATGGGCAATTTTCCACATCTGAAACGTTGGTTTGCAAACACAAATAGCCCCCTACATGCAGTGAACAACAATCCAAATAGAAATTCCGAATATACTGTGCAGGTATGACAAATCATACTTCAAGATGAATACATTAGATGCTGTAGGATATTTGACAAAGAGAGAGAAGTGGTGTATGCCTCACTGCAGAAAAAAAACAAAGGTTTGTTGAATCTGTGGAGTCTTTTTTCAAGTGGAAGAAACTGTTCTACTGGTGATGCAGAGCATCATGTGGAGGTGTTGGCTTAAAGGACGACAAACAATAGTGGCTGCCTGAGGTGGCCTTGCTCCTTCATGAACTCACTCCCACCGACAGTAGCCTTTGTGGGGTCAAACTGTTCATAACCGAAAGGTCAAAGATTTTTCAGCTCAGCGTAGATAAGCTTCCTCCTAGTGGTTGCTGTAAAATGCTTAGCTGTGAGTGAACATGCATAACGAGATGAGATATGCCTTGAATCAGAGTCAGGAATTCGAGAGGGAAATCACCTTAACTTGTGCTCTGTATTCCGATTGAAGTCACGAATGCCTCTTAGTGCCGTAACACTTCCACTGTCTTCCTCTGCACTTGCTCCAATTGTCACCACAATACCAGTCCGCTGCAACACCCCCTGCCTCTGCAGCCTTCTTAGTGCCTTATAAAGGTGCCTCTTTTTGACAATAATGCAATTTCAACGTCGAGAGACACAAACATAATTTTTTCAAATAAAATATGCAGTTTAACTATAGTTTAGTTTTTCCTGGAGTGAGAATACCACTCAATTCCCTCACGTACCCTTTTTTGGAACTTAAGCGAGGACCACAGAATGCGTTTTTTCCCCCCCTCCAAGTACTCCAACAAAAGAATCACTAAGGCTCAGACTGAAACAGACATGAAAAATGGATTTTCGGCTGTCACAAACAAAGGTTGGATCCTCCATGCAGTGTTTTAGACACTGACAATTTAATAGCCTTATATAATGCATCCTGGAGGCACATTATTTTGACATACATCTCCCCCCACCCCTCCTCCAGACTTCCTCTCAACCATGCTTTCACTAGTGTCATTGCCGCTCGGCTGCAGCGCCAATGGGAAGTGGCGTATAGCTTCAGCCCAAAGCCTCTCCACAGCTGGATCTCAGCAGAACCATTTTGTTCTGATGTTGTTACATGTGTTAGTGTGATGCTGAAGGACATTTAGCTACTCTCTAAGATATACCAGAAAAGCCTTCCATAGGCTCTGAAAAATGCCTCTTACTCTGACAGCCAAAGTGTGTTAAGTGTTGTATCACATTTTAGCAACAGTAAAGTATTCATGTAATTTCTTTGGCTTGGCCCGGGAGAAAAACACACTTTCAATAAATTAATCGAATGGCAATCAGTGGCTTAATTATTACTGTATGCTCAGTGCTACAAATAGTTTTTTACAAGTCTGAATATTTCCTGATTATTGCTTCTTTCAGGCCAGGAATTATTCATAAGGCAGAGCTCCACTAAGCTTGTGGTTATTTGTTTAAACAGCATGTTTAATTGAAGTCTTTCAGCCAATTCTGTGCTGGGGCGTTGGGTTGTGGTCACAACGCTTATGAGCGAAATGAATTTTTGTGGCCCACAGCGTAATTAATTAGCCGGCTTTCTCTCTCTTAGACTACACCAGCTGTTTCTTACCTCAGCCAGAATCCCAGTATATTAAAGACAGAGGTGCTAACGGCACAAGCAGCTTATCAGCTTGATAAAGATTGCAGTGTTGTGGGTCACAGTGGTAAATTTCACATCGTACCAACTTTTCACACACTTGTATTTGTCAGATTTTTAGCTGTCAAACAAGAACACACTCATTTTTAAAAGAACTTGCTTCCTTTTTTTTCACTTCACACTTTCAGTCAATCAATAATGGACACATATCCGTATGCTACAGATTCATATCACTATAAGAGACCCTAATCGGTAAAAGAAAACCAATGCAGACATCTTGAGATCACTGCAAAAATCAGCTTTTTTCTTTTTAAGCTCATTATCTCTGTGCTGGCATTGTCAAAGTCATATCTGACTGATCACCCGACACAAAGATGTAATCCATGTCATCACTCGCTTCATTAATGTCTGCGTTTATAGTTGTTAAGTCATTCAAAAAGGCCCCCCTCAGTATCAAACTAGATTAATTGCCTCGTAGTAGACATTTACTACTCAATCAGGTTTCAGTCTGCAGCTACGTCTGCCCTGACTTATCCTCTTATGATGTGGATATTGAAGCTGGATGTATTCTTCAACAGGAGATCAGTGCTGGGCCCTTGCCATTAGCCTTCATCACTGACCTACATTGTGAGCTTTCATACTCCTGCAATTTTAAAGCCTGCTATGGTCTGCAATTACACTACAAAGACACAAGCTGAAAACGGAGTGTAACAGCAGTTCTGTGAGGAGCTAATACATTTGAACAACACACACTTTCACGTAAATGACCGCATGACAAGAAAAAGGGTGCACACGAGAGGAGATAATGTGCATGGTGATAAAAGCTTCTTTCTATACACAGACAAAGGTGGGATTCACATGGATTCACAGTGTGTGCAGGCCTTTGGAATTGTTGTATCATAATGTACATCAGAAATGCAATTTATTTCAATGCAAATTTACTTAATTTATTCTACATAAGATGATGTAATCAGTCGTGTCATTTGATTTGTTGGCGCCTGCGCTACCCTTTTAAAAGTTGGACTTTTCTCAAGTTTCTACCACAAAGCACAAAGCACTCACAAAGAAGCAGCACAAAAAGTGTATTCTGCTGTGCAGAGCTATGACAAAACAATATTGTATGTGGTATAAATTTTTCATTTACTGTTCCTCCGCAGAGGATTTTTTTTGGTACTGCTTCATCATAACACACATTGTATCATAGTAACCATCAACATCATTTTTTTTTAAAAAAAGCAAAAATGTTCAATTAATCATTTCATGATGTCAAATAATTCTAAATAAAATCCACAAATGGTTATAATTAATACTTTCCTGAGTTAAAGACAAAAGGTCTGTTTAATAAGGCCACACTGACAATGACTGTTGAGCCTTGACGGCCAGATTTTAGTCATTTCATCCTTGAGTCAGTTAGAGATTTGTGCCAGAGGTATGAAAAAAATTCACT